GATGTGGATTTGGCGATATTTCCATATAATATGATCACTCAGGCAGGAAGTTAAAAGTGATAAAAAGTCCTGGTCCCAAACTTTCACACTTGCTGTGTGGTCAGCTGTTTTTATTTTTTCTGGACTGTCAATCACAGATGCAGAGAGAGTCTTCTTCTGAAGGGGGTGTGGACAGCAGCAGCTCTGCATTTAAAGTGTAAACTGAAAAAGCCCATTTGAAGCATGACTGACATCAGGTGTCATTGTAAAATGACCTGTCTTTGCAGTAATTTCAGCTAAAGAAAACTGAAAGACACATTCTGGGAACATGTGAAACTTGCTAAAAATGGGCATAATATAGAACCTTCAGAACACATCTATGCCATCTTGTTTCATTTACCAATACTTCATTAAAATGTCATTTTCATTTATCTATTTGGGTGTTGATCCTTTGTAACGTTTGGCAACACTTAGGATCTGTAATATGATATCTACCCACTGAGGTTATCTAAGCCACACCCTTTGGCTTTTATCCATTACTACATGTGCACTGATTTTCCGCACAGTTCCAACATTTTTTAAGAGCCAACCACCCTTTGGTTCACCCTAATAAATCAGTGAAGCCTCAACAAATCCTGTCACTTGTCCACACGGCACCAAAACACCACCAGCCTTTTCTTTTTATTATTTAAGGTGGCACACTGTCTCCATCTGCTGGTGGTGATGCTGGTATTCATCTTCAAAGAACCTGAATGATGCTCATCTGCTGTGGTTATGTTGCTGAGTCTGACCTATGATGAGACTCATCTTCATAATCTGACATTAATTCCAGATCCAGTCTGCACCAAAATCTAATCTGCATTTTAGATTATGTCTGCAAACTAATCTGCACTGCCTAAACTGTGTTCAATCCCTTAATAGCATCCATTACCTTTGCCCTGACAAATTATCTTAATCCTTTACTAAGCAGACAGTAGTACCGCAGGATAAATGAACAGGAGCGCACTTTCAAAAAGTGAAAGCTAACATGAACAGTCAAACATGTCATAGCCCAACAGAAGGAAGACTTTTACATGCCGTACGAAACAACACTTCACTGGTTGTTGAATTAATGCTTTTCTGTGCTTTAAAAGTCTTTGTGTCATTCCAGGACTTACTCAGGCAACAACTATTGTATATACATTTGTCCCAACAAAGCCTGCATGTCCTAATCTTATGTAAAAGTTAAGCCTAAAACTAAATATATGTGAACCTGCATCCAGAGTCTTTTAAATAATACCATAGTGTGAGCAGAGATCACTGAACTTAATCTAGATCTAAATCTTTTTAATTCTTTTGTATAAAAAAAATGAAGCTACATTAACATAACCGTATGCTATTAAAGTACCCATACCCACACTTTAATTTATATTCACACTAATATGCTTTTTATGTGCTAAGCTAAGAGGTTCAAGTACAGAGAAGCTGTACATCAGTGTTGCACCACTGAGCTCTGCTGCTTCTTTTGTACTGCTCTGCTCCCACCTTGTGGACTTATGAAGATGTAGCAGGCAAAATAAAATGTCCAACATGTCGTCCTCTGTAGGACACGGAGCAGCATTGAACACTGATGGAGAGGTGGAGCTGGATGCCATCATCATGGATGGAAGGACGCTTGCCTGTGGTGCTGTGTCTTCAGTACAGAACATCGCCCACCCTGTGTCACTGGCACGAGCAGTGATGGAGAAGGTCTTTTTAAAATCTTTCTCAAAAATAAATACAACAACAATAGATTACTGAGGGTTAAAAACACTGATTTGATTTCTGATTTAGGTCTTTTTTATAATGTAATGGTATACGCACCAATTATGTCCAGTTAACATTCAAAACAATGAATTGAAGGAAGAAAGTCAGGTTGAATTCTTACATGAATAGCATACTGTGCTATGAGATGTATTACTCTGTTTTAATTTTTTTTTTTACATGTTTGCTACCATGGACAACCTCAGACTTCCCACGTCATGTTGACAGGCAGAGGTGCAAACCTGTTTGCAGAGAGCATCGGTATAACCACAGTTCCCACTGATACACTTGTGACTGAGTACGAGAGGAAAGAATGGGAGAAGCAGAAGACCTATGTTACGGGAGTAATGGAGGATTTCAACTCTCAATGGCATGTATCGTCAGTGTTTTTATTTACTTTAATCGGAACAATAATGATAACTTTATTTCACTTTTCAAAATCACTTGAACAAAGTGCTTTGAATAGGGAAATTCAGATAAACAATTCAACACAATAAACTAAATTAAACTATGCCATTAAAGGTTCAAGAAAAAAGCTCAACAAAATCATAGGTGAATTAAAAGATGTGAGTGATCATGCTAGTTTCAGATCTTCAGGTGGGGATTTCCAGAGTTGAGAGGCCATATTGAAGAAGCGTGGTTATCTTTAGTCTTGAGCCCAGTCTGAGGAACACCCAATAGAGTCCTGCCTGAGGATGTGAGGCTGCACTGTGGCATATAGGGCTGTAGCAACTCGGCAATATAGCTCAGAGCCAAGCCGTGAAGTGCCTTAAAGTTGATCAGTATGATCCAGCCATTATCTGTGTAGGTTTATCCTCTGCAGGGTGGTGGCTGGAGCCTATCCAAGCTGACTTAGCGTGAAGGCAGGGTACATCCTGGACAGGTCGCCAGTCCATCACAGGGAAACACAGGGAGACACACAACCAAGCACACTTGATCAGTATAATCTTCAGATCAATTTGCAACCACTGTGCCTGGACTATAGCTCTGTCATGAATCTCTGGGGTCTTTTCAGCCCAACTAGCCTGTTGTGACAATATCCTGAAATAGAATTAATATAAACCCTGGAGCCCACTTACTCTACCATCCACACATATTTGATTCTGTTTTATATTGGACTACCATGACATTTTGATGGTTATTGTTTCATTAAATGTGGTGACTGCTTGTTAAAAGATTTCTTAATATGAAAAAAAAAAAAAAAACGCTGCATATAACCCAGTGTAATAGCACGTTTGTTGTAAATGAGCTCCGTCTGTAGTTATCCAGGGCATATCTGAGGAACTGCTCTATCACGCTGCTATACTGAGCGATGGGCGTCCAGAAGAGTTTGTCAGCTACTGTAGCAATGTAATGCTTCAACCTACTCTGACAAAAACAATCTTTGCATTGCAGTCTTAGATCCTTTCTGTCTGTATCTTTTGACTTTTGTGCAGCTTTAGACACTAAATACACAGCTCTAACATAGTAGATATACACTTTTTTATTTTATTTTTTTAATGTACCCTTTTCTCGTCCCAGGGCCCATGACACTGTTGGAGCCGTTGCTGTGGACAGTGCTGGTAATGTTGCATGTGCAACATCAACTGGAGGGATCCGAAATAAAATGGTTGGCAGAGTAGGAGACTCTCCGATCATTGGTGTGACTTCATTTAATTACACTTTTCAAAACAGCTCTTTTTACACTGTCAACAACACTATAATCTACAATTAAAACTTGAGTAATCAAAACTCATCATCAGCATCACAACAGTTTAATATAGAGTTTATGATTTCAATTACCCTCTCATCCTTTTTGTTTTTTATTTAATTTTGGGTGAGTTTAGCTTCTAATAGTATTTTAATACACACTAATGTGTGAAATTGAGCATATTCATTCATATTTTGTTTGTTTTTTCATCTTCACTCATGCAAATAAGGCTCTGGAGGATACGCTGACAACTCTAGTGGTGCAGTGTCTTGTACCGGTCATGGAGAATCTATTCTTAAAGTGACACTGGCCAGACTCATTCTGTCTCATGTTGAACAAGGTAAGGTATCACACTGTTAAACACTTTACATTAGGAATCAGTATCAGCTTTATTCACCAGGTTTGTGCACGCAAACAAGGAATCTGACTCCGGTGACTCTTAGTTCTCTGTATAAGAAATAAGGAAATAATCTATAACAATGAAATAAGAGTAAGCGATAAATAGCACTATTTACAATATGTGTGCAAAGCAGGCTAACTGAGGTAGGTGTGGTAACATTTAAAGTAGTGCAAATAAAGAGAAGCCACATAGATCAGACTTTACCTCATCTTAGTATTTGATGTCAATATTCTATTGATAATAACAATAACAATGATATGAATGAATGAATGAATGAATGAATGAATGAATGAATGAATAAGATCTGACTTGTGTGAATGTCTCTCAAGTTTGATATAGTTTCGAGTAATCGCAGGTTTGCACTATACGCTGTCAGTGTCGTTATTTATTTATGTCTGACTGGCAATACAAAGTGAATACAGATGTTGTCAGTTTGTGTCAGCTGTGGTTTAATCATATTTGGATTTTAACTTTGGCTTCATTTATTATAGTTTCCCATCGATGGGCAACTATAGAGTAATCGTATCCGTGTGTTTTTGTGCATGCATGTTTTTTTTTTTTTTCTTTTTTGTCTGTTAACATTCTAGCTCTTTACAGGAGAGAAGTTTGAACCTGAAACTTTATATAAGACCTCGGTATGGTCCCTTCACAGTGTGATCAGATTTTGGGGTTAATACATGCATTGGTGACCGCTGCAGAGGTCAAAGGTTCCTAAAAACAGCTCTGTATGACTGAAAATGCACAAAAACACAGAAGTTTAGTACACTAACTTAGGAAGACATTCGAGGCCTAGAAACTGGTCATGTAACATATGACCTTAAGACAAAGGTCAAGGTCACACTGAAGATCGGAAATCATCACAAATTTTAAATCCATTATAACTTGGAAAAGGTGTAAGATAAACATGTTTTTTTATTCCAATCAGATAGGAACCCATATTGGTGATGTGACATTTGACTTTGGATAAATATCAAGGTCAAACTCAAGGTCATAAATCTTAGGTGCTTTGCCGTAGACATAAATTACAGCAAAACACTTCCCCTCCGTGCAAAATATCTGTGTTACGTGACAGACTAAGCCCTTGTTACATTATGTATCATTTAAAGGCAAAATCAAGGCAAGTTCATCCTCAAGTAGGTGCACAATAAAACACAGAATCAGGTAAACATGTATACGTTGGGCACCTATGTCCCTCTACTGAGGGCTCTCTAGGTAAATGAGAATTTGTTGTTCTATTTATCATAAAATGACATGACCACATGTTGATATCCTAAATGATGCAGTACAGTGGTGCAATTGCGACTACTGTTGCTTCACACTGAGATTTCAAATCGTGGCTGGGCCCTCTCTGTGTGGAGTTTGCATGTTATTATTGTGCCTGTGTGGGTTTTCACCAGGTGCTCTGGCTCAGTTTGAAGGTTATTCAATTTAGGTGATTCTAAATTGGCCATGTGAGCGTGCACGGTTGTTGGCCCTGTGATGGACTGGCGACCCCTCACAGGTTAAAGTGGTGAATAGAAAATAGATTGATTTTTTTCATTTCTTCTTCCTTTCACAGGTAAATCCGTGGCAGATGCCTCCCGGTTGTCCCTGCAGCACATGGGTGATCGTGTCCAAGGTGCAGGAGGTGCAATTGTTGTGTCTCCATCGAGGGAGTGGGCTGCCACATTCACCACAGAGCGGATGGCTTGGGCTGCTGTGGAGCACGATGTGCTTTGGTATGGATTAGAACCAAATGAAAAGCTACAAGAAAAGATAGCTCAGTAATAGTTTGGACAGTTTATTTCTCCTATCAATCACCACACTGAACACTGTGACATGGAACTGTACTTCAAGTATGTTTATAATACTTCACTATGATTTGGACTGTAGCCACCTTAAATGACTGGTGTTTTGTTCTGTATTGTTTGTCATGTCAGAGCTGTGCACTGTATAAAGTTAAACATAAATTGTAGAAATTTTTGATAATTACAGTGAGATAAGAGATCTCAGATGCTAGTCCACACATATGAATATATTTTCTTATCCACTGAGTCCTGGAACATATATAACATCTGCAAATATAGGATGTCTGATTTAGTTTCTTGTTTCCCTTTTCTCTAAAGAACTGTAAAATGTGAAGGCTCTCGACGTCTCATACTTGAACGACTGTATCACGGGTAGCTTATGTTTGTTCAGAATGTGGACAATAGAATTACAGGGAATCATAACTAATGGATGAAAGTAATAGAAGTTGTATGTGTGTAAATGTGTTGTTTCTCCCAACCTGATCATCTGACAGTTTACACCAACATTCACAGTCATTGATTTAAATACCTTGCTTTGTCAGTGCTTTTCAACGCTGGTCCAAGAACTGTTGGTTTTCAGTTCTGCAATCTTAGCAGACAACAATCACCTGCTGCATAGGAGAGAAAAGTCATGGTCACAGTTTTTGGCAGTGGGTAAAAAGAGCACTTGGAGTTGAACTATTTAATTGCTGAAAATACCGTATGCAAAACATATCTGACCTTTTCTAACACCGGCAATGGTCGTTTACTGTTGTCCAAGGATGTTTGATTTTCAGTGCTCTTAGAAAAGCTCTGCTAAAATGGACTGTTAGGGGGTTGTTAACATAACAATGGCCGTATTCATGAGCCTCCACTTCATTTTGCCAGCAGTATTGTTGGCCTCGCCTCATTCTCTGAAACAATAGAAGCTTAACCAGAGACACTCATTGTATACAAACCTCAGAATTACAATAAGGTAGTATGGATATTTGCTCCCACTGTGGCAGATCTAAGGGCTGATTTGAAAACCTGCTTTACGTGGTACCATTTCATGTAAAAACTGGAAACAAAATGGGGGAAAAATACAGGGTTGATGTTTTTAGAATAACTAAATAATAGCTCTGACTGGAATTATCGCCTTGATCGGATACATATTTGCAGACTTTGTTGTTTTAAACATTTTGAAAACATCCCGTGTATGTAATGAATCCTGCATGCAGAATATTTTACACAATGGACGAAGGCTACAATCTGTTTTTCAAGTTTTTTTTTCACTCCAGACAAAGTCAGAAATGTCCCCATGTCACTTGTTTTATAAGGAAATAAACTGGTATTTTTCACCTCCACCTTTTTTCACATCTTCTAATTCTTCTTTTCTGTAAGATAAGATCAAATAAAACGTTAATATTCCTAAAGGAAATTCCTTTGCTGAGAAAAAAAAATCAATAATTTAAGAATCAGTGCAGCAGTTAATAGAAAAGCAATTACTACAATGCACTTAATGAAGAAATAGAATGAAAAGAAGTACTACTGGCAATGATACTGAAATAGCAAAATAGCATTGCACATGAAATTGTGTTGGGAATATAAAATGCACATTGAGTATGTTATTGTCATCGTAAAAATATTTCAAATATACAATCTAGCTTAAATTTTTAAAAAAGCAGTCCATTTCATACTTTTGGTTTCCATCATGCTCGACTACTGCAACAGCCTTTTTACCTGCCTAAACAAGAAAGCTGTTCATCGACTCCAGACTGAACAGAACCCAGCTGCCTGGCTTTTAACCAGAACCAAGGAGCACCAGGACACCCGTCCTCTCTGCAGGGCTCCCTGTGAGTTTGAGAATAGACTGAGAATAAACTGATTACTTTTAAGGCCTTTCATGACCTCAGTATTATTTCTGACCTTTTACTAACATGTGTACCCGTATGCACTTTGACATCCTGAGGCAGAGGTCTTTTGTTTGTTCCCGGGCCGGGCTGAAAACTAAAGGGAACAGAGCGTTTGCAGTCAGGGTCCCAAAATGAGATTGGCTGAGTCAGTGACCTCTTTAATGTCTGTTTAAAGTTCCTAAAACATTATTTTACTGGAGCATTTTTATTTCTTACAATATTATTGTTTACCCACTCTAACACGGTGTTGGTTTTTATCCACCACGTTGTGGAGTTACGTGTCTTTCAAATTCTTTTGATTTTATGACTTGTCTGTAGTTTGCATTTTTGAAAAGGACTCGATAAATAAAGATTGTCATTATTATTATTTTTTTAACCTTTATTTAACCAGGAAATCTCATTGAGAGTCAAAATCTCTTTTACAAGAGAGACCTGGCCAAGGTAGCAGCCAATCACAACATATTAAGATGCAACAAATACAAATAAAACAACAACTATTAAAACATAATGGACCTCTCAAGAAAAACAATCACATGTCTCAGTCACCACATTCTTTATGATGCCCTTAAATTTATGAATTGATATGAGTGTTTATAATCTAAGATCTTTCTGCAGATTATTCCAAGCCCATGGGGCACAGTAGGAAAACACAGTTTTCCCCAAATCAGTTAAAACCCGGGGTACGTTGAAAAGCAATCACTTGGAGGAGCGTAGCTGGTAACTAACAGAGCTGACAGAGAGAAGGTTACAAAGGTAGGCTGGAAGTTTGCCCAATATTGCTTTATAAATGAAAGTGTACCAGTGCTGCTGCCTGTGAATAGTCAGTGATGTCCAACCTACCAGATCATAAAGAATGCAGTGGTGAGTGAGGGACTTTGCATTTGTAATGAATATGTAATTAATTATTATTCTTACTATTACTGTTATTATTAGTACTACTACTATTATTATTTTTTATTAGTAGTAGCATTGAATTTGTTTTACAGGTTTGCTCTTCAAGACATTTAACGAGTGTGAATTATAAACTGCAAAGCATACAGATCAACATATAAACAAACAAATGTTCCTTTGACATAGATAAAGTATGAAATAAATCCTTAAAAAAAAGAAGAAAAAAAGGGAAAAAAAGTCAATACATGTATGAATATTTCATAATTAAAAGTAACAATTTAACAGCTTTCATTTCACAAGGATCAACTTATTTATTTCATTGGACTTTTACTTCATTTATTTTTATTTTTAACCCTTTACACAGCTCCCTGATACACACCGTTGTCTCTGCTGGCTGCCATCAGCTGCTGTGTTCCTGTAAACACAAACCACGTGACCAGTCGCACCGCCTGTCAGCAGTTTGCAGCAGCGGGACGAATGACGGCTGAGTTCGAGGAAGTTACTGGGAGCAGCTGTGCTAGCATGTAACCTTACACGAGTTGGCAACGGCATCGCAGCGAGAGAGAGGTGAGGCTTCTCCGTGTAGTGCAATAAATATTTCTGAATATTTACCTGCTGCAGGCGTTGCAACAGATGCATGTGGGTGTGTTCACGTAATGTCCGCTAGCAACACTCGGACTACAAACAAACTTGGTATCTAGGCCTATGCTAAAGCGACCTAGCTAGCCCGTCTTGCATATTTGGCATCGAGCTGTGTAACTAAATATTTACACGTTATGCACAGCTTGTTTTACATTTTCTGGCACCGACCTTTAGTGATGCAAATGCTATAAATAAGAACAGAGATATAGTTCAAAACCTAGAATACCATGGTTGGCAACTTCCTCTAGAAGTTACCGTTAGCTACCGTTAGCATTATTGCGTCCTGCAACGGATTGTTGTTAGCCGTCTTGTGGCGTTAGCATGCTAACCAGCAGGCACCTCATTGGTAAAACCTGAAACGTGGTGTTCCATATGGTAATTAAGTTTTATCAATTGAGGTTAAATAAACCCTTCTAGAGACGTGCACCAGTCTGATAATAGACTGTACATTTTATTTTTTATTTTTTGATTTGCATGCTATCTACTTCTGGCCTGCTCGAGGTTGTGCATTCGTAGCAGCTTTAAAAACATTAACTTGCGGGTCATTTTCTATTAGTTTACCACTTGAAAACAAATTCTCAAAACTGGCCATTGGAGTGGTTTCCTTGCAGTTACATAAATACGCCTTGAACTTACTGGCAGTGTGTGATTTCGGCTCTTTAAACGCGAAAAACCCACGGAAATGTCCAAGATGCTAGCGACGTTGGCTTAACGTAGCAGGAGAGCAAAGCAGCTGACTGAAGTTTTAAGCTTTCTGTCACTCTGTTCAGCAGCTGCAGCATCTCCCCAATGTACAGTAATGGATCTAATGGAGCAATCTTCCACAGTAGACACTACACAAGTACTGTAATCTTGTTATCATGCTTGTTAGTATTTATATCTAGTTTGCTTTAGACTCTGAAGCCACTGACTATAAGATCCTCACTGCTCAGCTTAGATTAATGCTCCACTGAGCCTAGTTCAATATACATTTTGTGCTTCTGTGATGGTGGTCTTAAAGCAGTATTATTCACAGCTCTACTTGATTAAAATGGGTTATTTAATGTCTGCTATTCCTGCATTCTGTCTGTGTTGTTTTGATGCAGGAAGGCAGCAGCATTCATGGATATTGTGGACACCTTTAACCATCTAATACCCAGTGACCAGTTGGATGAGTCCCTGATAATAGGCCAGAATTTGGAATGTGAAGCCAGTAATGAGTTTGGGACAGGACTAAGACTGGAAGATTCACTGAAGAATATGCTCAGTGACAAAGATCCAATGTTTGGATGTGCAAGCTCTCAGTTCAATCTGCTGGACAATGAAGACCCTGCTTTTCAGATCGCTGGCTCGGCAAGTATGTCCACAGACAAAATAGTGGAGCACAAATGCTCGTCCTGCAAACTCTGAGTTAAAGGGTGTTTCAAATATACATTAACAGCTTGCTAAGATCATTTATTTATCAACAGTGACTTTTTTTCTCTGCTAGTTTCACCCTGTTAAAATGTAATTCCAATTTTTAGGTGTTTCGTTAAACTAAAAACTTTGGCAGGCCTCCTTATATTAAGAGATGCAGGTAAAATCCACTATCAGC